GAGTGGGAGGGAGGGAGAGAGAGAAACACCCACGTGAGACAGACCCATTGATTGATTGCCACCCGCACGACCCCAACCGAGGCCGGGGACAAACTGCAACTGAGGTACGTGCCCTTGGCCAGAATTGAACCCTCAACCCTTCGGTCCATGGGCCGATGCTCTCACCGCTGAGCCAAACTGGCCAGGGCTAAACTTCGCCGTTTAAAACAGCACCCAGGTCTTAGCTCATGGTTCTGTCGGTCAGAAGTCCGGGTGGGCTCAACTGGGTTCTATGCTCAGGGTCTCACATGGCCACAAGGAAGGTATTGGCCAGCCTGGGGTGTTCTCTGGAAGCTCTCAGGATCCACTTCCAAGTTCATTCCAGTTTCTTGCCGTTGTGGGACAGTCTGTTCAAGCTGCTATAACAAAACACCATCGACCGGGTGGCTTAGGCGAGGACAACAAACACTCCTTTGCCGCGGTCCAGGAGTCTGAGGAGTCCGAGGTCCAGTGCCATCAGGACTGGTGTCGGGCGAGAGCCTGTTTGCTGGTTCCTAGACGGCCGTCTTCTCGCTGTGTCCTCACGTGGCTGAAGGGGCAGGACAGCTCTCGGGGGTCTCTGTAGGCACTAACCCCATCCTGAGGGCTCCACCTCATGACCTACTCACCTCCCGAATGCCCCACCCCCAAACACCATCACATGGGGGGTTCGTTTTCAACATGTGGGTGTATTGGGGGAGACACGTTCAGTCTTAGTACAGGGAGGGGACAGGTCCCTGTCTTCTTGCTGACTGTCAGCAGGGGGTTACCCGCAACAACTAGGGGGCAACTTCACTCCTTCTCACCGGGCCCCTCCCCCTTCAAGGCTTCAGTGGCATGCCCCGCCCTCTGGAACTGCGTGCTCTCCTTCATTTGCCTCCAGCCAGAGAAAGCTCTGGGCCTTAAGGGCTGGTGTCTTCCTGTATTAAGGTCAACAGTCTCATCCAACATAACACAACCTCAGGAACGATGCCGCCTCACAGTCACAGGTTCCCGGGGCTACAGGAAGGCAAGTGATGGGGTGCAGGGGCCTCGTGGACACCTGCGGACAGGATGGAGCCGGAAGGAACAGGCCCAAGACACTTGGAGGGGACTTCTTTCTAGAATTAAACCCCTGGAATTGCTTTTTAAAAATAGCTTAAGAGCCCTGGTGGGTTTGGCTCAGGGGTTAGAGTGTCAGCCTGTAGATCAAAGGGTTGCAGGTTCGATTCTCAGTCAAGGGCATGTGCCTAGGTTGCAGGTTCGAACCCTAGCCTAATCGGGGTTGTCTCTCTCACACTGATGCTTCTTTCTCTCTCTTCCCCTCCCTCCCTCCCTTTCACTCTATCTAAAAATCAATGGTAAAATATCCTCAGGTGAGGATTAACAAAAAATAAAAATGAATAGCTTAAAATATAAGGTATGATTGACATGTAATGAACAGTGCATATTTCAAGTATACAATTTGGTAACTTTTGACATATGTATACGTTCATGAAAACGTCTCCACAGTCAAGATAATAAGCGTGCCCATCGCTCCCCAAAGTTTCCTGGGACCTCTCTGTCATCTCTTCCTCCCACCCCCTGCTACCCCTCTTCTCCAGGCAGCCCCCCAGCTGCTTCCTGGCACTGTAGATTAGCTTACGTTTTCTAGAGTTTTCCATCAGTGCTATCAGAGTACTGTAATGGGACGAACCCATTTTGAATTCCTGACCCCTCATACCTCAGAATGTGACTGCATTTGGAGATAGGGCTTTTTAAAGAGGTAATTGCGTTACAATGAGGTCATTGGATTGGGCCCTAGTCCAATCTGGGTTGTGTCCTTCGAAGAAGAGATTAGAACACAGACACACACGGGGAGATGACCTTGTGAAGATGCAGGGTAAAGGTCCATGAGGAGCCTAGGAGAGAGGCCTCAAGAAAAAGTAGACCTGCCGATGTCTTTTCTTTTTTTTTCTTTATTGATTTTAGAGAGAGAGGAAGGGAAAGGGAGAGAGAGAGAGAAACATTGATGATGCCTCCTGCACGCCCCCCACTGGGGATCGGGCCCACAACCTGGGCATGCACCCTGAATGGGAATCAAACCGGCGACCTCTTGGTGCATGGGTCGACGCTCAACTACTGAGCCACACGGGCAGGGCTGATGTCTTGATCTTAGACTTCCAGCCTCCAGAATGGTGGGAAAACAGATTTCTCTCATTTAAGCCACATGGTCTACAGCCCTAACAAACGAATGCAAGTATGTCCTTTTTTTTTTCTGTCTGACTTATTTCATTCAGCATAATTATTTTGAGATTTATATGCTATTGCATGTATCAATAATAGTCCATTTCTTGCCCTGGCCGGTTTGGCTCAGTGGTTAGAGCTTCGGCCCGCGGACTGGAGAGACTTGGGTTTGGTTCCCCCTAAGGGCACATACCATGGTGCAGTTTGTCCCCGGCCCCATTTGGGGTTGTGTGGGTGGCAACCACTCGATGCGTCTCTCTCATGTCGATGTTTCTCTCTCTCACTTTCTCCTTCTCTCCCTCCCACTCTATCTGAAGATAAATTTTAAAAAAAGTGGAGGGACTTCCGGTCAAGGTGGCGGGTAGGTAAACGCGGTATCCGTCCTCCCACAACCACATCAAAGTTACAACTAAACTACAGAACAACCATCATTCGAAACCGCCTGAAATAAAGCTGAATGGAAGTCGTACAACTACGGAATTAAAGCAGCAGCCACATCTAGACTGGGAGGAGGGGCGGAGGCGCGAGGGGCGGGGCGGTGGCCGCGCAACGGGCTGGTCCCACACTCACGTGTGGCAGATAAAAATCAGGAGGACACCTCGGCTGGGAAGGTCCTCCCCGAGGACTGAGGGGTCCCCGTCCCACACCAGGCGCCCCGCTCAGGTTTCCAGTGCCAGGAAGAGAATCCCCACAACTTCTGGCTGGAAAAACCAGTGGGAACTGAGGCTCAGGGAGGCTGAGGCGGCTGGAGCCCCAGGCAGCTCCTTAAAGGGCCCGCGCACGGACTTATCGGACTCTCTCCCTCTAAGCTTGGAGGGGAGGCAGCTCCAGGGGCGTCATACAGGGAAGAACTGAGCGGTTTGGCACTGGAGCGAGGGCTGGAGAGGGGGCTTTCTCAGGGACAAACGTGCTATAAAAGGCCTTTGTTCCTTTGGTGAGCCCTTCCCTGGGGCGCAGACAGCTGCCATATCTGGGCCTCCAGCAACCTGGCTCACACTGGTAGCCCCGCCCTGCTGACTCCCTGAGGCCCCGCCCCACCCAACTTTCAGGCCCACCCAAGCTGTTGCCACTTGCTTTACCATAGGATTGGCCTGTCTTGGATCCTGCTTCAGATTTTTCCTAAATTCTTTCAAATGAGCTGCATCTAGTCTCAGCGAGCCCCATACCTCTCGTTAAGTAATACACTGAAACAAACACAGGGAGGCAGCCAAAATGAGGATACAAAGAAACAGGTCCCAAATGAAAGAACAGAACAAAACCCCAATAAGAGAACTAAGTGAAATGGAGATAAGCAACCTAACAGATACTGAGTTCAAAATACTGCTTATAAGGATGCTCAATGAACTTAGTGAGAACCTCAGTGAACTTAAAAAAGGACCAGTCAGAAATCGTGGATACACAGTTAGAATTGAAGGAGGCATTAACTGAAATAAAGAATAATTTACACAGCTTCAATAATAGAGTACGTAAATCCAAGGAGCAAACCATCGATTTGGAATATAAGGAAGCAAAAAATGCCCAATCAGAACAGCAAAAAGAAAAAAGAATCCAAAAAAATGAGGAGAGTGTAAGGAGCCTCTGGGACAACTTCAAGCGTGTCAACATTCACATCTTGGAGTTGCCAGAAGAAGAAGAGCGAGATCAAGAAATCGAAAACATGTTTGAAACAATAATGGCAGAAAACTTTCCTAACTTGGTGAAGGAAACAGACATACAAGTCCAGGAAGCACAGAGAGTCCCAAACAAGATGAACCCCAAGAGGCCCACACCAAGACATATCATCATCAAAATGCAAAAGGTTCAAGACAAAGAGAGAATCTTAAAAGCAGCAAGAGAAAAGCAGTTAGTTACCTACAAGGGAGTTCCCATTAGGCTGTCAGCTGATTTCTCAAAAGAAACTGCAAGCCAGAAGGGAGTGGCAAGAAATATTCAGAGTGATGAAAAGCAAGAACCTACAACCAAGATTACTCTATCCTGCAAAGCTGTCATTTAGAATCGATGGCCATATAAAAACTTTCCCAGACAAGAAAAAGTTAAAGGAGTTCATCACCACCAAACCGTTATTATATGAAATGATGAAGGGTCTTTTTGAAGAAAAAGGTAAAATGTATGAACAAACAAAATGGCAATGAATACATATCTATCAACAATGGAATCTACAAATAAAATCAACAGGTAGAACAGAAACATTCTCATAGATACAGAGAACATTTTGTTGGTTGCCAGTTGGGAGGGAGGTTGGGGGAATGGGTGAAAAAGATGAAGGGATTAAGAAGCACAGATTCATTGCTAGACTGACAAACCTCAAAGGGAAAGGGGTTGGGGGGGTGAGAAGAAATAAACCAAAGAACTCATATGCATAACCAGTGGACACAGACAATAGTATGGGAAAAGGTGGGAGGGGGGTGGGAGTGGGGAGGAGGGGGTCAATGGGGGGAAAATGTGGAACATCTATAATACATTTTACATCCAACAATAAAGATTTTTTTTAAAAAAAAAAAGTATTCTTGGGTGAGGATAAAAAAATAAAATAAAATAATAGTCCATTTCTTTTTCTTGTTGAGTGATATTCCCTTGCATGGATATACCACCATTTATTTATCCATTCACTTGTTGACACATGCAATAGCATATAAATAGCATATAAACAAACCCACAAAATGGGTTGTTTCCAGTTTTTGCTTATTATAAGTCATGCTCCTATGAACATTTGCATACAAGTCTCTGTGGAGTCGAGTGGCTGGGTCATATGGCAGTTTATGTTTAACTTTTTCTTTTTTAATATAAAACGCCTCACGAATTGGTGTGTCATTTCTGTGCAGGGGCCCCGCTAATCTTCTCTGTATCGTTCCAATTTTAGTATGTGTGCTGCCAAAGGGAGCACTATGTTTAAGTTTTTCAAAGGCTGCCAAACTGGTTTCCAAAGTGGTCATGCTATTGTACATTCCCACCAGCAACAGACGAGCGTTCCAGTTGCTCCATGTCTTTGCCAGCACTTGGCATGGTCATTCTTTTCCATTTTCATCTTTCGAATAACTGTGCAGCAGTATCTCACTGTGGCTTTAATTTGCATTTCCCTAATGGCGAATGAAGCACTTTCTCATATGTTTATTGGCCATCCAAAAAGGAACGCATAGCTTATTAAATAAAATGAGCATCTATTTGTTTGTTCAAATATTTAGCCCATGTTTTTAAAATAGGTTTTCTTATTATGAACTTTTTTTCTGAGTTCTTTAGATTTTTTTTTTGAACACAACTCCTTTATCAGATATATGATTTGTAAATATTTTATAACAGTCTGTGGCTTGTCTTCAGTCTCTTAACAGTGTGTTTCAAAAAGAAAACCAGAAGTTTTTTATTTGAATTAGGTCCAATTTCTATCAATTTGTTCTTTTATGGATTGTGCTCACGGTGCCATTTCTAGGAAATCTTTGCCTAACCCAATGTTATCAGACTTTCTCCTGTGTTTTCTTCTAAAGGTTTTATATTGTTACGTTTTATATTTAAGTCTGTTTGGGGTTGATATTTTTATATGATGCAAGGTATGGATCGAGGTTCTTTTTTTTATTTTATTTTATGGTTATTCAGTTGTTCCAGAACATTTGTTGAAATGATTATTCTTTTTCCACTGAATTGCCTTTGAACCTTTGTTGAAAATCTGTTGTCCATATTTGTGTAGGTCTATTTCTGGGCTCCCTATTCTGTTCCATTGATCTAGTTGCCTGTCTTGACGCCAGTACCACACTGACTTGATTACGTAGCTTTGTAAGGTCTTGAAATCGGGGCGTGAGAGACCTCTGCTCATTTTCAGAGTTGTTTGGCTATTCTGTGTCCCTGGCATTTCCATGTCATTTCAGAGCCAATTTGTCAGTTTGTCCACTGCTATCCAAAAAGAAGCCTGCTGAAATTTTGGCTGGGATTCCATAAAATCTATAGATCAATTTGGGGAGAATTGACAGCTTAACTGTATATTTTTTAATTGACATATAATTCACATACCGTAAAATTCACCCTTTTAAAGTGTACTATTCAGACCAACCAGTGTGGCTCAGTGGTTGAGCGTCGACCCATGCACCAAGAGGTCACTACTTCAATTCCCATTTGGGGCACGTGCCCAGGTTGGGGGCCCGATCCCCAGGCGGGGCATGCAGGAGGCGGCCAGCCGATGTTCTCTCTCATCGATGTTTCTGTCTCCCTCTCCCTTCCTCTCTCTCCAAAGTCAATGAAGAAAAAATATTTTTAAAAGAATGTTTTTGAATAATAATGAAGTGTACTACTCAGTGGTTTCTGGAATATTCACAGGGTTGTACGGCCATCAGCACTGTCGCATTCCAGAACATTTTCATCACCCCTAAGAGAAACCCTGTACCCATTAGCAGTTACTCCCCACCCCTTCCTCCCCCAGTCCCTGGCAACCACTAATCTACTCTCTGTCTCTCTGAATTTGCCTACTCTGGACATTTCACATCAATGGAATCACACAACATGAGACCTCTTATGTCTGGCTTCTTTCACTCAGCATAACGTTTTCAAGGTTCACCAGGTTAGAGCAGACATCTTAAAAGTATTGTGTCTACAGCACCTGAGTAAATGGATAAATATAACACCCTGGGACACTGCAGAAACTGCTTTTGAGAATTAAGCCTCTGAAATCACCTTTTTTTTTTTATCCTCACCCGAGGACATTTTTTTTTGGTTGTTTTTTGTTCAGACAGAGTGGGAGGGAGAGAGAGAGAAAGAAACATCGATGCGAAAGGGACACATCAAGTGGCTGCCACCCACACAACCCAACCAGGGCCAGGGACAAACTGCAACCTAGGTACATGCCCCTAGTGGGAACCGAACCCAGGACTCTCTGGACCTCAGGCTGACACTCCAACCACTGAGCCAAACAGGCCATGGCTGAAATCACCTTTTAAAACATTAGATAGATAGATAGATGATAGATAGATAGATAGATAGATAGATGATAGATAGATAGATAGATAGATAGATAGATAGATATGCTTATTTTTCCTCAAAGTAAACCATGTAATTAATTCCAAATAACTGGGGCTGGCTGGAGTGTGTAAAATCACTGAAGCTCAGAACTGATGGGAAATCGAGAACTCGTGTAGTCAAGAGCCTGCAAGCCGGTCGCCCAGAGGCCAACTTGGCAGTCGGATGTGTTTGTGTAGCCTCTACAGGATGTCCTTAATATGCGAGCCAGCATTTCAGAATTTGGGAGTCTTCACAAAAATTTCTTTAAAAACTCAGATGTCTGGCAGGCCAGGGCTCACCTCCTGCCTGGTGGTGGAGGGCTGGTTGAGAAAAGGAGCCTCCTGTCCAGGCCTCCCTGGGCCCCACCACCCCGCAGGGCACCTGTGCCCTTGCACCTGCCCCTTCACGCTCAGATGAGCTGCCTGGCCTGGCGGAGGAGTCCGCACCTCCCCCACTGTCCAGTCTACCCCTGGCTAGGTAAGCCCTGGGAGGTTATCTATTCCCCGGGCAAGCAGGGAGTGAGGGGCACGGCACCCACGCCGGCACTCGGTGCTACGCTTGTTCCTACCCTGTGGACATCCCCGCCCCCCGAGTGGCTTGGGACTTCTCCAGTCTGAGACGGCAAAGCCTGCAGCCCGGGAACCCTCTCAGACCCCGGCAAACAGGGGTGGGTGCTCTTCCTGCCTCTCACTTCCCATCCTTCTTCCCACCAAGAAACAGTTTCATTAATTAAATAAAATAAGTTAAATTGGAACGTTTTTAAGCCGGCTTTTGCTGACCTAAGATGTCATCTTTTCTCCAACCTGCTTGTTGGGCCAGACATTGTCGTCGTCACGACCACTGTCCCTAGTTTCTCTCTCCAAGAGGTGCTCCCTGCCACCCTCAAGGCAGTGACCGGTGGGACTCCCCACGCCGGGTTTGCTGGGGCCCGGCGCCTGACACCGGGCCTGGTGACACCTGGCCCGCGCAGGGACCTCAGTCCCAGCTGACAGCAGCACGCGGAGGCCTGGCTGCCAGATGGCAGAGTCCTCCTCTGTTTATGATTAGGTGGCTGACTGCACTCGGAACCCGGCGAGCCAATGATGAAAGCTGTGAAAAGAACATTGTTATATGACTTTTCATAGTTTCCCAAGTAAATATCACACTCGCTGCTGCTTGAATTACTAATGCCTTGGAAGTGGAGGCCGAAATCTGTTCCCAAACAGACTCCTCTTTTTTTCCCTGTCACCTAGGCGCTGAGCATTGTTGTCGAACTGTTTTCCCGGGCTCACCCGGACTCACAGCTCGGTACGGAGTGATCTTGGCACCCCGGGAGCCCGGGTTCACACAGTCACCTCATCGCAGTTCCTCCGCACAGCTCCTTGGCGGGCAGGTGACTCCCAGATCCCGTGATGTCACTGCAGACGAGGGAGCCGCGCAAAGGCAGCCAGGCTCCAGGGAGACGCCGCTGTGAACAGGCAGCTCCGGGCACCAAAGGACCCTGCCGGACACCTACCTCCAGGGGCCCTCCACGCCTTCCTCGGGCCTCCTGGAGCCGCCAGGGAAAGTGCCTGGACCCACAGGGCTCTGGTCCTCACTGTCGTTATTACTGCTTATAAAGCTAGTAAACAGATGGTTTGGTTTAGAGAAAATATGCAGCCGGGGTTATTAAAAAGGAAGAAAAAGAAGGAAAGCAGAGGAATGAGGAGAGGAAAGGGAAAGGCAAGAAGGCTTGTCCGCGGGAGGACCGGTGACAGCTCGTAAATCTCGCGCCGCGGTGCGTGTGTCTCTGCCGGGAGGGGTTACAGCGTCCGCACCAGGCCGTCTGTCCGTCCCTAAAGAAGCCCCAACAAAACCAGCCTCATGTAGTGAATGCACTCCGCCCCCTCCGACCACCAGCCCCCTCGCACACAGACCCGTGACATTCCGGTCAGATGCGCCAGGTGGCACTTGGGGCAGAGGAAGCATTTGTCTCTGTCCTTTGGGGAGGCTGGTCACACGGTTAGCTGGCCACGGAGGAGCTGACCCGGATGTAAAGGGGAGGGAGGATGAGCCATCTCAAAGGTGTCCCTGGAGTAAGAGGCGCTGAGACCAAGGATTTACTGCAGAACAGAGAGCACGTTGGGGGCGAGGGCTTGGTTCTGTACCTGGTGGTGACCTCGGCCAGAATAAAGCTGCTGCCACCTTGGTCCTGAGACCTTCCTGCGGGAAAAAGTCCAGGATGTGTGATCTCTCCACTGAGCCACAATACCAGACTCAAGCAAGGAGGGGGGCAAAGGTGCCTTCCCACACCCTCAGCATCTCCCTGAGGGGTCACCAGGTCGTCAGGACCAGTGAGTGGGGGCAAAGGGAGAAGAGAAGACTGGGGTGCAGCTCTGTCTTCTTGTCAGCAGAATATTCCAACCCAGCTCCAGGGGGAATCGACCCATCTGAGAGAGAAAAGCCACGAGAGGGCAAAAGAAACGAAATGCGACTCCAGGGTCTGTAGGCAGCTGGACAGAGCAAGGCTTGTATGCGTGCGATTGTGGACAAGTGTCCCCAGGCGGGCAGGCAGAGCTTCCTGAAGCCACATACGCAGGACCAGGAAGAAGACAGGGCTGGCAAGGAGCCAGGAGGGGGCACAGGCAGATACCAGCTGCGGGACCCTTCACGGTCAGCTCAGGGCAGGGCCGAGGTGGGTCAAGGTCACGCTGCCGCAAGGATGGACCTGTGCTTGGTCAGCTTGTCCTGAGTCCAATAACATAAGTACAGAAATCACAAGTAGCACTGAGAAACGTCCATGTGTCCTTCTCCCTGGTTAGCTTTGTCCTATTATAGATTATGAAATGCAGCTTTGTGACTGTTGAACCTGGTAAGAAAAAAGAAATGCAGGTTTATACAGTCAGCCCTCCCTCCATATGCCCAGGCTCCTGGATCAAAAATGCT